ACACAGAAAGGGGGTGACGATAAGGTAGATAACGCGCATTGCTACGGTTTGCACTGGAGGGGCACCGACTGTACGTGAGTGAGGGCAGGTATGTCGATATATCCAGCGAAAAAGTCTACTATTCTTTAAAAATAAATCACGATTTGTGTTCTGGCCTGTATTAAAGAAAGCAACCAACCAACCAACCTCCTTAGTTTCGGTTTTCTTTAGTATATCTTGAACCCGGCTGCAGGTGGGTGAGGGTAGGTAGGTCGATATATTCAACACAAAAGTTTACTATCATACTAAATCACGAGCTGTGTTCTGGCCTGTATTGAAAAAAGCAACCAACGCCCGCTCCTTCTCAATCTTGGCCTTCTTGACTCTGTCTTGAACCCGCCTGTAGGTTAGAATGTGTAGGTGGTGGTAGACAGTTGCGACATCTACAAATAATTCAAAACCAAGCCTTGTTTACAGACACCTTCCCTGCAACAACCTGTTTGGAGCATATGGTGGACTTCACTAAAATTCAACTATTAAATCAAGGAGTCTTTGGGCTTCATGATCTGCCTTCTGACGGTTTGTGCTGATTTATGATCAACGCCAATCCCAAATGGTTTAGGCATTTTTTGCATTCATTCCTGAAACAGTTAACATTTGGGATCGGGATCCAGAAATTTGACTTTTCCTTACTTAACAACAGAACTCAAATTTTGCCTTCGGAAAGCGAGAGTGATCGGTTGGGCAAATGATAAGGTGGGTAGGCTGATGCCACAAAGTTAGTCCTTAATTCCAGGCACTCCGAAAAAGGCTCGAGTCAGTTGAGATAGGGCTAGATAGAACTGCCGATAAATGTCACACGAGGCCAACAGCTGACACCCGCGAAGAAAGGAGGCGCCGACCGCAAATCAGCCGATCGGCGTAACACAGTATCTATATGCGCCCGTAAGGCCTAAAACACTACGCAGGAATAGCTGTCGCATGTTGTGATGCCGCCAAACAGAAGGTTCCCCCAAATCACAAGACAAACAAGACGGTGTAGGAGGACAGAAACTTTACTGCCAGAAAATCGAGAGTACACAGGCGGAGTTGTGCACTCCGAGTCGGTAATCCAAGTTGTGTGTTCGGCGCAGTGGACCCGAGGCGGCTGGGCGATGCACTCAGCCAGGTGGAGATACGCACATCTATTGGCTGAA